AAATGGAATTGATAGAAACTGCAAAACACAGCTTTTACAGCATACCTCTAACACCGATTGCTTCTTCCCTTCCCGTTCCAGAGGCCGCCGGCGATGGCAGGTATGGTTGGTGGTGTGGATCTTATCGATTACTGGGTTGTCGGGCAGCGTTGCTCTGCTCGAGTCGCGGGAAGTCGACAAGTACTGGTTTGGGGCTCAGTGTTGGTGGTTGGGTCGTCGGCGTTCGTTTGGGTCGGGGCTGTGGTTTGGAGGTGCGGTTGTCGGCGATTGGCGAGCTGTGTTGCTTGCTTCTGGTTCGATGTCGTCGGAAATTGTCGGCCTGAGGTTGTGGGTTTGGCTGGATGTCGTTTCTCCGGGTTGCAGCGGGGTTTGTTTGTCGATCCAGTTAGGTGCTCCTGCAGTTTCTGGGTTGGGATTTTGGGCTCGACTTTGCCACGGTTGTGCTCGATGTGGTTTTCCGCTGTGGTAAGGGCTTTTGTTGTCTGCCTATTTTCTTTTTGTTTTAGCGAGTGTTTGTTATGTGTTTGTCTTGTATCGTGTAGGTTTGTTTCTAATTTCAGTGTTTTCCGTTTGGGCCGGTTGGCCTCTGTGCACCCGAGTGTCAATCTGTGCGCCTGAGTGTCATCTTATTACCTGTTGGGGTTCGACACTTGGGTATTACCCTGTTGGGGTCCGACGCTTGGGTATTCCCCTGTTGGGGTCTTGTAGTTGTTTTCGTTTTTCTGTGGTTCGTTAGTTGTTTTGTGTTATGTTTTTATTCTAGCGTTGCTAGTCGGGTCTTAGGCGGTCGTCTGACATGTCCTCTCTTTTATTTTTCTTGTGTTTTTTCAGCTGTTGGCTGAAGTGTATTCAGTATTTGGTTGCTTTGTATTCGCACATTTGTGCTTTGTGTTTTATATCAATTATATCGTTGGAAAAAAAAATGTAGTGATATGTACAAAACTTAATTTTTATTTGTAACTTTACAATCATGTTGTAAATTATTTAATTATGTTATGTGTCACCATAACATATTACTTTAATATGTGATTTAATGGTAACTTATGATCGTGTTAATAATTTTAAAAATAAATAAGATATAGATATTTTTATATAAGGATGATCGGTCGACAGTATATAATGTTGTGTATTTATCAAAAATAATTCTTTAATTTAATTTTTATTTATATTCTTGAATTTAAGCTTTATTTATGTAATTCTTACAATACAATCAAATTGACTTCGCCGTGCATGTGCACGGGTAAAATAGTACTAGTTGTTTATTAATAACGAAGTTTTATCTACTCTTTCGAATTCAGTTCATTTAACAATTTTAACGTGTCGAATATGAATCGTAACAATCCAAACTCGGGCTTTTATTAAATAAAAAACTATATTTTAGAAGTTTAATGAGTCGAACTATTGCTCGGTTAGTTTGTTTGAATAACGATATGCCAAATCGAGCTAACAACTCATTTCGTTTAATAGCTTTGATAACAACCATACCCTATAATACCCCGTGTATATAATTCCATATAGATCAATTAATATTACTAAAACACAACTGTATGTTTAGAAATGTTACTGTACTTGAGATGCAATTATAAATTGAACATTTAGACATGTTGAATAAGATCTCAACATTAATTCATGACACAATCAAAAGTATATTTTTACAATAATTGTAAAAGATTATTTTTATTGCTTATACATTGACCAAATTAGTAGTGAGTGGGGCTCGATGGGCTGTTTGTGACGGAACCACGGCGAAGTTCTGGACCGATAAATGGTTACCAACGGGCACTGTGTTAATACAGGTCGCTACTGGAATAGTCCCGCCGGATATTATCGACAAGCCTGTGAGTTTCTTTGCAGAGGAAGGAACAGGTTGGAGATGGCAACTCTTTGCACATTTAGTCCCGGCTACTAATCTTCTACAAATTGCGGCGACCCCAACGCCGAGGACAGAGCTGGGGCGCGATCGGATTTTTTGGGGACCCTTTTCTACAGGAAAATTCACGACCAAGTCCGAGTACAACATGCTGGATGCCGACGGTTCATCGGAAACGGACTCGACGCTAAAACCTATTTGGCGTGCGGTGTGGCAATGGTCCGGACCTCAGAGAATTATAATATTCCTCTGGCTGCTCACGAAAAACAGATTGCTTACTAACGTGGAGAGACGACGGAGACACTTGACGGCAGATGGGCTCTGTGCTGTTGCCAAAATCATCTTCCTCCGATTTTTTCGACACAGACCAAGTAACGTGGGTTTCCTCTAACCTGTTGTACCCACCGGCTGAAAGAGGAGCGAATTGGCTCTGTATATTTGGAGTGACTGCATGGAAGCTATGGAAATGGAGGAATGAGTTCATTTTTCAAGGAACAAGGCGAACAGGGATCGAAGGGGTGCAAGAAATATCGACCTATGTCGAGGGACTGGAAAGACTCGTTGCGAATGATAGGAAACTTGGGGGGTTGGGCCAGTTGCGAATGGAACGGTGGATACGGTGGGAGAAACCTCCGGAGGGGTGGGTGAAAGTTAACTCCGACGGCTCTTTTAGTCCGCAGACGGGGCTTGGGACAGCGGGTGGACTCATAAGAGATGAGCATGGGAGTTGGAAAGGGGGATTTACAGTGAAACTTGGGGCTTGCTCGATTATGGCGGCGGAATTATGGGGCTTATATAGAGGTCTCGCGTTGGCCTGGGACTTAGGGTTCCGGCAAGTAGAAGCGGAAGTAGATAATAAAAGTGTAGTGAAATTTACTAGGTGTTCGGAGATTGATCCGGGGGTGAGCACGAGTCTAATTGTGGGCATACAAGAATTACTCGGCCGACACCTTGGAATGTTAAAGTGACACATATCTTCCGCGAGACAAATTTCGCAGCCGACCACTTGGCTTCCTTCGCAGCGGATGGAGAGATGGGATATCAAGTCCTACATGATCCGCCGGATGGGGTTCGTCAGTGGCTCCATCATGACCTTCTTGGCGTAGCTTATACGCGGGCCGTGTGCAACTAAACCTATAGGCTTTAGCCTATCCATTGTACCAAAAAAAAAAAAAAAATTAGGTGCTGTCAGGAACACTTAAAATATAAATTAAATATGTCCAAATCATTTATAACTTTCTAAATTGAATATTTATCCTAAATAAACGTGGCATCAATGACATTTTAATACAGCATGGATGAAAATGAGATTAGAACGTAGAACGAGCATCTGTAGCATCTATACACTACCTTGTACCAGTAAACAATCAATAATAAGACATGAAACCACAAAACCTCTCCAAATGAGAGAAAATCAAATCCATATTTCAGTATTCTAAAAATGAAAAGTATTATATCATCGTTTCTTAGCATTCTAGCACACTTTTGTTTACTAGGCCCCACAAAATTACATAAAATGCGTTTCATCAAACATTATTCTAAAGCTACGCAGTGATTAGAGTCATCGTCGTTAAGAACCTTCCATGCAATAGCTTGTTCGTAAGATACGGGTTGACCCATACCTGAAACACACACTTCTGCTGGCAAGTCGGCAAACCCTTGCAAATGAAATTATAAAAGAAAAGGGCTTGTCAAGAAAGTGTGGAAAAATTTGTCAACGCTTGCAAAACGAAATTCGTGCACTTCTGGATTTTGTTCATGTAATCAAGCATTAGATACTGATTTTTTTTTTTTTCTAATAATTTTAAAGCAGTGAGAAAAATGGAATTAGAATTTTACCTGGTGCATGATACTAGAGAACTCCAAGAAGAATATTCCGAGCGGCTTCATCTAAAATCTGCTCGAGCATTATATCCTGAAGGGCCACTAGAGTTGTTTCCATCATATCAAGACCCAATTGGTTCGCAAACGTAGACAACTGAAAAAAGAAAAGATAATGCAGAGCAAAAACTAATCAGCAATCTATATTGTCTCTCGACTAAAATTAAAGATAAGAAGGTGAAAAATGATCGACTAACATTCATCTTAACCGAGCATCACATAATAGGATTTGTGTGGTGCCATAGTTTTTTCAGATCATACATCTCCTTATTGTGAATCGGCTTGAAATAGCATTTCCTTAGTATGCAACCTGAAAATTAAACAAGAGAATCTAATAATTTCAAATATGATTCGACTAATAAATCAGATAAAACAGGACTTTGTACCTATAGCTCCTACAAATCCATCGTGCAAGCATTAAAACCTGGGGTGAACTTTCATAATGTGAATGGGAACTGATTGAGAAAGTATTATTAACAACAGGATGAATAGGATGAATCAGATGTACTGTCTAGAGAGCATGTCTAATGATTCTTTTCACAAATTTTATTCTCATACTCATGACCTCACCAAATACATATTCCCACTACAAGCCACAATCCAAATGTGTCATATTAACTTAAGTTAAACGCCAGGCTTCCACAAAACTATAACATTTAGATTCCATTCAATCATACAAAAATATTCAACTAGTATCACAAACTAACGAAACCAATATTTCATTTCACATTTTTATCAGCTAATTGAACTTAGCATCAAATAAGTTCAATACATGCGAACCATCTAGGCAAACCTAACAAAGAAATTGCTATATCTAATAATACCTTCATAGATCATATGTTAGTTAAATCACATCTATAGATAATGCTATCTACATACGACAAACGTAATATAAACTCAAATTTAATCTCTACAAACACAGAAACTAATCTGGCACTTCACTTCCTCGTAATGCTACCAACCAATGCATTTATATGAATATTTTAATTTCAAAATCAAATCGAATACACTGAAAGAGTGGACTTAATGACACTCAAAACTACAATAGATGCTCAATACAGGAGATTGTTATGCTACTATAGGTCACGGCAACATCTGACAAAATGTCAAGAATTAAGCATGAATCAAATACATATGAGATAAAAACATACAAATAAATTCTTGCTCAATTCAAATTTTCAGATACTATTCATTCATACATCCAGCCACAACAGTAAACAAACTCAATAAAATTTCAAAACACAAACTATTTCCAAAATATAAAAGCAAAACCGTGTCAGATCCATAAAACCGCAGCAAAAATCAACTTACAACTCCGGTGGTCGAGATGGTGGTGACTGTCAACTTCTCGTCGCTCTGAAAATCCCTATTCAGCAGATCTAAATCGAAAAACATAAATCAAAAAACCAAATAACAAAAAATATTAACATATTTAATATATGGCAGATTTTATACGTTAACATGCCCAAAAAAATTGATTTCAGGACAAACCCATCAAAACACAATAAAATTTAAGCTGAATAAAATTGAAGAAAAGAGAAAGTCGAAATACAGACCGTTTCTGGAGATCAGGTGAAGCAGATGAGTAGTGCTGTTTGACGAGAGATCTGATGGTGGAAACCGATTCATCAAATTTTTGTTTCTTCATTATGTTTGAGAAGAAGGTAAATTGAACTTTATAGAAAGAACAATTGAATAGCAACGAAGTTGTCCAGCAAAA